TGTTATATCGTTATATTATTATCAGAAGTTTCTTGCAAAGTGTCTTGTGAATTTTGGGAATTAATATAAGAAAGGTCATTAGGATCCATTTGAGCGATTATTGTAAATATCAAAAGAAAAAAAAAATATTTATAACAAATAGTTTACAAAATATTATTACATATTGTTATGGTTTATTATAAATACAAAAGCTTATTATCAATATTAAAGTTTATTAAGTTTATCATCAATATGAAAGTTTATTATATTAGTTATATCATAACAGTTACTATAGTAATATATTAGAGTCATATAATCAGCTCACAGCTCTAAACAGGCTCGATTAACGGCTCAGTTTGTATTGCATGGAGCCGTACCAGGAACGGAGTGATATTGAAAATTTCATGAAGTGATGGTTATAATGCAAATTAAAATAGCGTATGTACGCGAAATCTTGCCGCTTATTGGACAAATGCATATAGCGGAGCAAAAATTTCCTGATAACTACCCAAGCAAATTTGATGGATTTTTTTTTATTATAATTCTGCAAGACTAAAGAATTAAAATAAAAAAAAATTTATCAAATTTAATTATAAAACTATTAAGAAACTTTTACTAGAAGTTAAAAAAAAATTAAAATAATTACTATCCTCGTAATTTTGAAACTATGATGTAATGTTTTAGATGATGTAATGTTTTATTGTAATTTCGAGCTTACTTGCCAATAATGTAATGTTTAATTGTAATTTCGGCCTATTTGCATAAATCAATAAATAGAGGTTTAATTATATGAATGATTATTTTCTTACTTCATTTTTTTAAGTAAATGGCAAAAATTGCAATAATCTCATTTTATTGTTATATAAGATATTGTGTATAAAGAGATAAAATTAATATTGTATTGCGGCATAAGGTGTTGTGTATAAAGTTGTGAAGTATTATGTGTTGTCATATGAAGTGTTGTATGTAGGTTTGTTGTATGAAGTGCTATATGTAGAAAAAAGGATTAAAATAATAAAAGAATGCAATAAAAAAATAAGGATGTAAGTAAGAAACTAATTTAAAATAATTTTTAATAACCTAATTTTAATATTAATTATCTTATTATATATTTATTTAAGACATAATGAACAGTACTACCAATTAAATTTTCTGTACTAGGTGTAAAACTTATAAAGATAAATTAGAGTTTGCTGATTCAGATGATATTCAAAAACCTCATAACTGTAATAAGTGTCGAGCTTAAGATATAGAGAAAATAAGAAGCTACTTAAGAAACACCAAAGATCTGAATAATTTTGCAGATTATATCTATGATCTTTTTGAATTGTATACAACTATAGAAGATGATAAAGAAAATAATCAATTAGGCATTCAGTTTTCATATACTATTGACATTTCTTTATACAATGAATCTTCAAAAAAAATCGCTGATAATTTGATAAATATTGTTAGTGATATTGATAAATACAATTGAATATATGTATATATAATTAATAATTATAATTATTTTATATAAATAAAGTTTATTTTAGTAATATATATTATTTTATTACTATTGTAGATATAATAACAAATATAATAGAAAACAAGCGATAAGTATTTGGTATTTTTGCTTTCAAAGGATGAATATAGCAAAAAAGCCTTGCAAGCATAATAATTCAAAAAAACATAAAGATACTACAGCAATGGAATAATATGATTGTGATAGTTGCATTAAAATAAATATTAACTTAATACTTTAGATAGCTAATATTACAGTTGAGCATAATATTTTACATCCTAAGCCGAATCAAATAGAAGTACCTGAAGATATTAAACAATATATCAAAGATAACATTAACTTACTACTACAGGAGATTTATGCAAATTTAATTGATAGAGGTATAGATACAATAATTGTGCAAAAACAAGTCTACTATTGGTGAATGGTTTTTGGAAGTACTAGATATAAAAAACATGAGGATGCTTTTAAATCTGCTTTAATATGGATTAAAGAAGAAAATTATCAAATTATTGTAAATACAATGCCTATTCGAGCAATTGGATTTTTAACAGGTTTTCTTGAGTATTTAAAAGAATCAAATATTAATATATATAAATGCAGAATTTTTTTTATTTTTTTTTTTTGACGATCATGTCACAACTTTATTTTATACTATAGAATTTACATTTATAATAAATGTGGAATCTATTTATAGCTATGCTATTTTAAACTAAAGTGTGGCTCACCTGGTTGCTAATTGGTACCTATGTGTGACTTGCCAAAGTAGAATTGACCTCACTGCTTCTTTGTTATCTACCTCAGATAACGAATCTGCAGTTCATCAGCCTGGATCTACAGCCTGTCATGATTTATTTTAATTTTTATTCCAACTGGACTATCTTTTGGTCCAAATTCATTTATTCACTTTATTTGTTACTGCATCAATTCTTTTTTAAAGACCTTCCACCGGTTTTTTCACTTTTTATCCCCATTGGGCCTTCTCTCTGTTGTGTTCGAAAAATCTTCAAGTCTAACTGCATATTTCTTTCTTGTACTTCTATTTTTCCAGGGTCTTTTCTTCTTCTTTTTTTTGGAGTTAATTTGCAGCTCTTTTTCCCATTTTATGACTTCTTAACAGCATTGAAGCCAGATTTCTTCCTAGAAAAAGCTATGCCATTTGTCTCACTATTTGAGTATTATTAGTTTTATTTCTTTTCCAGTGATCTCTGTTGACGTAAGGGAGGCTGTCAGATCTGTTTCAATTAGTCCTCTTGCTAGGTAGTTTTTTTTTTTGTGTCTATCCCAACACTTCTACCAGCAAATGCTGAGTAAATATTGTCTTGCAAAATTTTTTTTGGACGGTTTTACCAGATTTTTTTGCAATTAAATACTCCTTTTCTGACCAGTGGATTCATCAACTTCACATAATGTTAAATGTTTGAAATTCTCTTCTTTCTTCTTGCATTTCCTGCAGATTGCTGTTGTGTATAGGTCTCCACGATTTCTCTTTTGTAACTGCAGTGTCGGTAAAAGCCACTCAAGCTTTTGAGTTTAAAACTCTATTTCTTGTTTAACTTTAAAGATCTTGATTTTCTATTTTTTTCTCTACTTCACAGGTTTCTGAAGATTTTCCAGTCCTGCTTTTTAACTCTTCTTTGATGTATATTGTCTTTCTGGCTTGGAGTAAATAACCAGTTGACTTTGTAGAAAGTTTGCGTGAACATTTTAATAAAGCTTCAGATTGAAGTATCAATTAGGTGCTTGTTCCAGATTGGGTTAAGTGTTATTCCCTGTGTTTCATTAATAGTAATGAAAGTTAATTCACTTTCTTGAGTGCCTTTTTTTGCTACTTTATCTGCTAGATCATTTAACCAGTTGCCAGCATGTGCCTTTATATTGTGAAGTTGGATATTTATTCTTTTGGTGTTTAGGATCTTGACAATTGTACCAAGAATACAAGAATTTTTCATTTTGTACCAGTTTCTAGTACTTTTGACTTTTTGTTTTTTTTCAATTGCTTGTATTGCTGCCTGGCTATCCATAAAAATATCTATCTTACTATTGTTTGGAGATATTAGAGTTGCTATAAGAATTGCTATGAGTTCAGATCTAGTTGAGGAAAACCACCCTTGAATTCTACCTTTAAGTTCTTTAACTATTGCCCCTTTACTATTTAGTTAAATAATTTCATACCCTGCTGTGTGATCTACTAACCCTCCTCCTATGAGTGAGCCATCTGTATAATATATTATTTTCTTATATACTATATTTTCTTTCGATGCCTAAGTAAGCTCTTGTTGTTTACTTGTATTTTTTATCATATTTTTGATCAGATATGTTTCCCAGCTTTCAGATAAAATTGTGTGAGCTATTTCTGTTTCCTCTCTTTCTTCCAAGTTCTCTTCTACTGGCAATATTAGGTTTTTGAGGTGTTTAAGGCTGATTGATAAGGCCCAGCCTCTCTCACTTCTTCTTTTGATTCAAAAGCTTACATCTTCTAATTCGCTCTCTTTTATTTTTAGAATGATGTGAGAGAGTTGTTATGTGGTTCATTCTCTTTATTCTTCTCTTCTCATTCTATTATGTGTAACTTTTGATTCAGTGGTTTCTTTTGTATTTTGCCTAAAAATGGCATTTTGTCATTTTTTTCTTGATCCAATTACCCATTCTTTTTTTGATCTTTTGTGAGATAGCTTTCTTTTTTTAGGTTTTATTTGAATCTTGTTAAACTCCTTTTTTTGGATGAAGACTCTCTTTAGCTTTTGAGAAGATTTGTTTTCTAACACTACCTCTTCCAGGTTTCAGAACCACTGCAGAGTTTTTCCATTGTTTTAACTCCTCGAATTATTTTAATTTGTTGCCATATAAACATAGTGTTGTCTTGTCTTGTAGTCATTTGTTCTAGGCACCAATGGTTGAGATTACGGAGATGGTGAGCGGTCCTTTTTAGCTCTTCTTTGGGTAGTAGTATTCTTATTTCATTTACCAGCTTGTTGTCTAGAGCTATATTCTAGTTTTTTTCCAGCTTTATACTTTTGATGCTGATTCCTATATTTTTGGCTGCTACTAGTATACTTGTATTGAGATTATTTTTTAGGCTTAACTTTTTGATTTCTTCATTTTCTATAAACCAAATTGGTGCTATAGAATGGAGTGCGAGCTGTGTGTCTTTTAATCTTATTCTAGTGAGGTCTCTCACAAGATTTGGGTTATTTATTCTAATTACTCACTCAGTGATTATGTGTTTTGTATGTTATTGCCACAGAGTGTTTAATCCCCAGATATCTTTTTGCATTGGTATAGAATTAGAAGTGGTTAAAGCCAATTTTGCTTTCCATTTTGCTATTCTTATTATTGGTTGATGAAGTTTGTCACATTCTTCTTTAAAGAGCATAGTTATATTCAACCTGTATTTAGCTTTGGGTAATAGCACCATGTTGTTTATATATTTAATTTGTTCTATAGAGATTTTCTTTCTACTAAGCAGATTAGTTATTTGCTTGATTTCAATACCGAGTTTCTTCTTGATTGTTGATTTTATATCTGCTGTAGTCAGCCATACTCCAAGATAACGAGCTATCTCTTTCTTTTTCTTTGCTACTATTTTTTTATTTCCCTCTTTGAACAGAACTAATTTTTCTTCTTTATTCTTCTTTTCATTTATTACCAAAAGTTCTGTTTTTTTTGTATTTAATTCAATGTTGTTTGTCTAAAAAAAGAATTCTGCGATATAAATTAGATTCTGCATATCCTCTTTGGAGTTTGCTAGAAGTGTGATATCATCAGCATAAGCTAAGCCTGCAACTTGTAACTCTTCTTCTTTTGTTTTCCTCTGTGTTAACTCTAGTGGCTATTCTAATTTTGCTTTAGCACCATAGCTGCATTTGTATAGTTTACAAAGTAATAGATCAAAGTATATTCTCCAAAAAAAGGGGAAAATTACTTTTTATTGATCTATATCTCTTTCAGGGCAGAAACCTTTTGTTATGCTAAACTTGGTAATGACTTTAACCTCTCTGTTTGTGAACATATTAACTAGAAATTTTTCAAGTTTTTTCAGGATCTTGATTCTCTTTAATATGAGTTAAAGCCTCTTAAAATTCACTATGTCGAATGCTTTTTTGATATCTAAAAAAGTTATCTACATTTCTTTGTTTTCTTGTTTCGCTGCTTCTATTAGAGCATTCAAAATATGAATAGGATCCTGGGTATATTCTCCTTGTAACTCTGCAAAGTTTGGCTCTCTAAAAATACTATGTTGTATAATAATATCATTTAGTTTTCATTGGATGATTCTTATAAGTCCTTGTCTTGCTGCTTCAAGTAGCATAATCGGTCTTGTATTACCGAGCAGTAGATCCCATTCTGATAACTTTGGAATGGGAAAAATCATCCCAATTTTTTCACTTTTTTGACATTATTTCTTCCTCTAAAATTCTGTTGAGCAGTCTTAAAAGAAGATTTGTAGCTTTTTTCCCTAGTTTTTTCAGAATCGTGTATCCTATATTTGATAATCCTGGGGCTGATTTGTTGAGGTTTTTTTAAGCATTTTTTTCCATTCCTCTAACTTGATTTCATCTAAAACATTATTGTACCAATTCTGTTGAATAAAGAAAAGTGGTGTATATTCTTCTTTCCATATTTCTTTTTCCTCTCTAGGGACTTAAGTGTTTTCTTTGAATTGTTTTATGAAGTGTGTGTCAACCTCTTTTTTGACTTCATTGGGTTTGTGAATGAGTTCTTTCTTTTTTGATATTGGATCTGTTGTAATAAGAATTCTTTTTATTACAATTTTGTTCCATGGCCTTTCCAGAATGCTGTTAAGCATTTTCTTTTCTTCATATCCAATCATTCCAAACCTTCTTTCGATATTATCTCTTATTCTTTTTCTTGTTCAATTTTTTGTTCTGAGGACATTTTCTTTTCTATTATTTTTATCCACTCTTTGAGGTCATTAATCTACTGTTCTGATCATCTTCTTCCAATTTTTTGGATTTCAGTATTATTGTTTGAATTTACTCGTTCTATTTGAATATTTAAAGAGGTTTGGTCTTAGGGGTTGATTTCAGTATTTAGATTTATACGTCCTATTCGGCCTATTATTCTTAGCTGCTTGATCCACTTGTATCTTGGATTCCATATAATTTGTTTTTGTTTTTCTTCTGTGGTGTTCTGAATTTTCTTGTATGAAATTGTTTTGTTTGCAGCTTTGTTTATTAGTTCTGCTAGTTTTTCTCATACTTCGTTTATTCAGTCTTCTTTTGATGGACTAGGTGTTTCAATTTCTTTTTTCGATTCTTTATTACAAAATTCCTTAATATACTTCTCTAGAAAAGAGGTAAAATTTTCCCAATCCTCTTCAATCATTTTATTATATAAATATACTTTACGATGACCAAAATTTTTCTGTCTTTGCTAGGCGATTGAGTTTATGTAGAGTATGAGGCTTAGCAGTAGTTTTGTCTATATCAGGTTGTGATCACTACCTATAATGAAATCTATCAGTTCCACATCACTATCTATCACGAGTTCTTTTAGTTCTGTATTTAACCATATATGGTCTATTTTTGAGCAGGATTTGGAGTTGGCCCATGTTGCTTTGAAGATCTGTAGATTAATAAGGACATATGCTTCTTCAAAGCCTACTTTTTGCAGCCATCTTATAATCGGGAGTTTGCAATGTTTGTTCTCTTGTGTAACTTCTCCCATTCTAACGTTCTGAGTAGTACCTGCTCCAACATCTAATTCTGTATTGAAATCACCTTCTATAACTATTCTTGTATTTAGTTTGCTTTTGGTAATATCTTCTATTAAGTATTGCTGTATTCTTTTTTTTATACTTTTATCGCTTGGTGGAAAATAAGCTACCCATATAACTAGTATTATTTTTTTGAATTTGAATACTGCTTTTAATAAATAAGCATCTTTTGCTATTATCTTAGTGAAGTGAGTTTGCTACTCTTTTCTTACTAGTAATCCTACTCCCGAGCCTTTTCTTTTACCTATAAAATTTTTGGTCCAGAAAGCTCTATAGTGTTGCTAGTTAACCTTAAAGAAAACTGCTTCTCTTGTACTTGTGTTTGTTTCAGCCCTTAAGATTATTAATATTATGTTAGCCTATTTTTACTTGTTCAAATCTTTCTTCTATTCTATTGTCTTGTTTTATATTTTCTGGCACTAAATCTAATTCTGAATTAGTTATGAGGATGTTATTAGTTATCTTAAGTGGTGTTCATTCTAACAAGCTGTATTGCTTGTCTGTATTTGTTAATACAACTGTGGCGCCCTTAGGAGAAGTTGGGGACTGGAGTTTCCTGTTTTTCTTCATTCTTTTGTAATCTATTCAAGATTTGCTCCAAAATGCTACTTTGCATTTCACTTTTGACTGTGAGGTTAACTCTTGGCTTATTGTATTCCAAACTATGTAGTCTAGCCTTTTTGTAGCAATTTTCATCCTGGGGTATTCTAGTTTCATGTTCTTTTTGATTTCCTCTTTTTTTGCTTATTTCTATCTTGTTCAAACTCATAGCTGTTATGTTTTCTAGACTTCTAAGTGGTTTTCTGTTTTTGCTTTGAGGTCTGCGAATGCTATTAGTTCTACTACTGTCTGAGTTGGTGCTATAAGTAGAATTAAGTCTTCTAGTCTTATCTGGCTATTTAGTAAGTATGCCTCTGGGTAGGTTTTTTTCCTTATATATTTCTGTTTTATTTCTTACTCTTTTTTCTTTGTTTTGGTTATTATCTTCTTTTTTATACTGAAACATGCTATATGAAGAATTTCTTCTATTTGGGTCTTCTGTAGCTAGATACCATTTGAGTCTAGTATTGAAATAATATAAGATGCAGCTTTGGGCTAATAAGAGGTCCTCCTCTGATTTGAAATATAGATGAGCTCTTTTCCTTTGATTTCCATTTTGGTTGTAGAGGATATATATTGCTTAAACTCTATACTTTTTAAGCTGTCATAAGAGAAGGCTGTAATATGCTGATGTTGAAATATTTGAAATAGTGCCTTTGTAGTTGTTCTTTGTTTTTATTTCAGCAATATCAAACTTGCCTGATATGGTTCTGTATGTTTTATCTTGTTTTAAATGAATTGACCATCCTTCTTTTAAAGATTTTTCTCTTTGTTCTGAGTTTGGTATTATTTTAATTTATGCTGCCTTTGTTTTGAAATTCTGCTGCCATGCCATAACAGTTGCTGTACCAAAGATGTTCAAATAAGACTTTATTACTGATGCCTTCATATCTTTTGGAAGGTTCCAAATTGTGAAAAGAAAAGTAGGTAAATTGGGGACTTTTTAATACGAAATCTTGTTTTCTGGAGTCTAAACTGAGTTGTATATCTTGTGACTTAATTGCTTAGATGATTTTGCATCTATTTGCAGTTCCTCTTTTATGAGTTCTTCAAGTCCATAATCAAAAATGCCATACTCTTTTTTAACTAGTATATCTCTAACTAGTTCCTGGTGGTCTTTTGAGATAATTGTTGGTACTTCTTGTTCTGCTATATTTCTCTTATGAAAGTTGTCCTGTAATTCTAATTTTATGCTATTAATAGTGCTTTTAGTTTCAATAGAGAGTGTTGCTAGAGTAGTTTCCATTGGAAGTGGCTCCACTTTAACTTCATTTTTATTTAGCACTATCTTGAGTTTACTCTCATATTCTGTATTGATATTGGTTGCTTTAGAGAACACAGTTGGATATACAATTAGGTCTTCCATTAAAGAAGGTTCAATTTTAATTTTAGTATTGCTTTCTTGGGAGTAGTTTTCCTTTGTATTCTTCACTTGTGTTGTATTGTTAGTTGGAAATTCTAGTAGAACTTTTTCATCTTCTCTAGAGTTTGATCCCTTGTTAACTTGTGTTGAGCATAGTCAAAGTGTTGTAATACATTGTGTACAATTGCAATAAAATAGATTTTGCTTGTGTCTAGATATTTTGCAACTTTCTATCTTGTTCCTATATAAATTCGTTTTGCTCTTTTTGTACTACTGCTCTTTTGGTTTCAGATTTATTAAAGAAGTTTTTATATATACTAAGATTAGAAATTTACATGTTATATTTGTTGTTGTTTCGATAATACACGTGTTTGTTTGTTGTGTTGATTAATTGTCTACAAATATTCATTTGTTTGTTTGTTCATCTAAAGTAGACGTGTTTGTTTGTTTTGTCAGATTGCGATCTGCATTACAGGGTCAATAGTAAATCTCAAATTTTTAGAAAAGTATTAAAAATTTTGTCAAAAGTACAAAAATTTTCCAAGAAGTGCGTTTTTAAGAAGGTATTGAGCAAAGTTGTTTTAGGAAACTCCAGTTATTTTTTTGTGTTCTATTCTTTAGCTTAGAGCTAGTTCTATTGTTGCCTTAATAAAGTAACTGCCAAACTTTGTTTTTTTTTTAACTCCAGATTTGGTTTTAGTGATCGATGGAGAGAGTTGAATATAAATGCGAAATTGATGCAACTTGTATTTATAATATTTATTTATTTATCTATCTATTTATTTATTTATCTATTTATTTGTATTTTAAATAAATAAATAAAATTTTTTTATTTATACAGATAATACAAATAATTTAGGGTTTGAACTATATGAACTACATACAGAAGTTAATGGATCAGAGTATCCTATTGCGTATTTGTTTTTGGAAAGTAATGGCAAATCTGAAAATAGAGTACGAACCAATATAATTTTAACTTTTTTAATAAAATAAAGTTACGAGATATAATGCCTGAATTCATATTAACAGATAAGAACTTTGTACAAATTTCTGAAATACAATTTACTTGGTCAAATGCTAAAGTACAACTGTGCCATTGGAATGTAAAAAAAGCAATTGATGCATAATTAATATCAAATAACTTTCTATTAAGAATTACTTATAAACATAGTAATGGTTATGAGTATTTTTCTTTCATTGATAAAAATTTTATTCCACAACTTCCAGCTCAAAAAGACACAATTTTTTGTTCTAAAGAATTATATATATCAGTTTGGAAATTAATAGATAAATATTAACATCTTCATCTGCTAATACCAACATCTTTCAATCTTACACTAATATGTTCACAAATTTGGGAACAAGCTGTCAAAGAAATTATTTTTTTTGCAAACATAATTCATTATATTTTCTTTGGATTTATCTTTGGAAAGAGTGATATTGTGTAGATCGATAGATTTTATAAATGAGAGCAAGTTGCAAAAACAAAATTTTAATATTAAAGACAACGATATTTATTGAGTTATATTGAAATAATTAAATGGAACTTTTTTTATAAATTCTTTTGCCCAAGACTTGATCTAGTAATCTATATTCTTAAGAAAAAAGTAATTTTGCATTAGAAGCGTAAATTTGATCAAATTATGCTTGGATGAGTAAAAGCAGTTTGGCGAAAATTGATGAAGTCAGAATAGAAATGATTAACAAACATGGTTGTTAAAAAAGATGCTGATAAACTTTATAATACTGAAATAGAACAGTAGATTTGCAGCTACCGATATTATCTTACAAATCGGTTCTTTATTTGTAAACATCCTGTTCAAAAAAAGGGAGCAGTGTTATCACAATTTTTGATCAAGTTAAGTGAAATAATCAATATCTATTTTTGATTGAACTAAAATTCAAGATATTACCAGTTTAATGCATACAACAAGTTCTTCAATTAACATAAATAATAACAATCGGCTTGAAGATAATAATAAAATTAATTAATATAATCAGCAATTTATTCAAGATGCTAACTCAATAAATAAAATAAATTTTTCGACAATCAAGATGAAGATTCGAATACTTTTTTTAATCAATTGATTGATACAACCAAAAAGGCACTTGATTTTTTATATAAATACAAAGATACAAATAATATTAAATAGGGTAAAGGCATTAAAAAAAACTTTCAACCAATTAATACAATAGTCAAACAAATTGAGACTTATTATAGAAGAAAAACTATTGGAAAGAGAATACTTACAATATCTGTTTTTTAAATTAAGGTAAACTAAATATACATATTTTTTTTAACTTAAAAAAATATTTATTTATTTATTTATTTATTTTTTAAGCATAGTAGTGATGACATTAATTGTTGAGTAAATTACTTTTTTTATATTTTACTACTTTACTATTAAACAATTAAAAATTTATATATATATATATATCTCTTTTTAGACAATGCGATTTAGTAAAATGATAAAATTCAAGCAAAACAAAATAAAATTTAAAGAGTTTATTCATTTAGAATTAGATTTATTCTAGTGTAAATTAATATTCAATACAATTTTTTTTTTTTTATGTTTTTTTTACAGAGGTTTTTTTTAATATTTAGCACAAAATCCTAACTTCATTATATACTGTATGGCGATATTCTTTGTACCATACATGTAGTATACTAGCTGAACAAATATATATATATATATATTTTAATGTTAAAGGTAAGACCATGCTTTTATTTTTATTAAACTTAATGAAAACTTTTTACATAATTGGAAAAGGTTTTATATCTTAAGTCTAGTGCTAAAAATAAGAACTCAGACTAACTAAAAAAGTCAAATAGACAAGCCTAGTTTTTTAGCTGAACAAATATACAAATTATTAAGCTTTAATTATATATATATATTGTTATATATATAAATATGAATTATAGTTAAGGTTATTTTATAGCTATATAAAAAAATTGGCAGTTTGATCTAAATACTAATATTAGGAACTTAAATAGGTTGTGAATAATAATACATTAAGATGTATTTGTAGTGAGCAAGCAAGTAAAATTTACAACCCAATTTTATTAGAAAAAAAAAATCAAAAAAAAATCATCTCATCTAAAAATAAATAAAAAATTGGCCGTAGCTTCTTTTTTAAAGAAATCTAAAATTTGAACAAATATTACTCAGCACCTACCCAGTCAAATTTGATTAAATTTTCTTTATTTTAATTCTATTAAACTTAAAGAATTAAAATAAAAAAATTTTAATTGAATTTGACCAGGTAGGTACTGAGTAATATTCATTCAACTTTTAGATGTTTTTAAAAAAAAGAAGCAGCAGCCAATTTTTTTTACTTTTAATAAATATTTCTCAACAAGCAGCTATTAAAATTCTATGAAACTTTTTTTATTTAAATTATATAAATTAATAGAATTAAAATTCAAATATTTTTATCAAATTTGAATAGATAGTTGTTATAAAAACTTTGTTCAAGTTAAATGTCCATATAAGAAATAAGCTGCAGCCAAATTTTTATTTATTTTTAGATGTTGCTTTCTTGACAACTACCTAATCAAATTGAATAACACTTTTTTTTTTTAGTTCTACAAATTTGCTAAATTAAAATAAAAAAATTTCATACAATTTGATTAGGTAGTTGCCAAGAAATCTTCAAGTTTGAAAAAAGAAAATTTATCTGATTTTTTTAAAATATTTCACTTTTTTAATATTTTAAGTGAAAATTTCTCGATAACTACCTAACAAAATTAATAAATTAATTTTTATTCTAATTCTACATAACAATAAAATTAAAATAAAAAAATTCACTGAATTTAATTAGGAGGTTATTGAAAAACCTTTGCTAGAAGTTAAAAAAAATTATAAATTTTTAGAACAATTCTCAATTAGTACTGTAATTTTATTGGACAATTTCATCGATCATTTACATGCTTGTACTTTTTTACTGGGTACACTGGGGTAGTTACAGAGGCTGGTCCAAGTTAGCTAATAGCAACCTGAAATTATAAGAAGAAAATTAAGCAACTTACAAAACAAATACAACAAATAGGCTTAAATTATGCCACAATAGTATCGGTATTAGTAGCTCAAAAGTTGTCCCAACAGCCCAAGAAGTATGAACTAAAGAACATCAAGTAATTTAAGTGTAGCAAACTTGATCATTTTGCCAAGAATTGCATTTCAGAAAAGGCAATAACAATAGAACTGCAATATAAGTAAAAAAAAAATTTAAAGAAAGTAGCAAAAAAGCCAAACAATAAATATAAATCTAGCTATCATAAAAGAAAGTAGTGATAGTGATAATGAATTGTATATAATTTACCCCCAACTTTATAGCACTAACAGAAAAAAGCAAAATGAAAAACAGAAGCAAAATGAACCAAAGAAAAAACAAGCCTTGCTTAATAAAGCTCCCAGGGTCTAAATGCAAACTGAAGTACAGAAAGAAGTTAAAGAAGCCTTTATAAAAGTTGACAAACCAAAGAGAATCATTAAGAAATAATCATCTTTATTGATGGATAAATTAAAGTTTTATGATATATCAAAAAACCTATTAAGTACAAGAGTACAAGCAATATATAGTCAGTTGCTTCAATATTCTAACCAAAGGCATTATTTAGCAAAAGCCTTAAGAAGAAAGAAGAAACAACCTAAGAATAAGGCTAATCATGTTAAATCAGACAACTCAAGAAAGACTATAGCAATGTGATATCATATTCATATCAGAAGAACTTCAGTTGTCACTATTCTTAACTTTGAAGCAGCTATAAGTATAATTACTAGAAGGTTAATAATTAAAACCAAATAAAAAAAAAAACTCTTTCTCATAGATCCCAAAACACTAAGTAAACAAATAAATTGCAAAAAAATAATTCAAAAAACCATCAGTTAGAAGGGAAAGACTTATAATAAAACTAATCTCTTAGGGGATACTGCACTTCTAGGTTTAAGGAACATCAACCAAGGGCCGGATACAAGTTGAGTAGCAAGAAAAGAAACAGA